AATGTGATGGGCCAGCTCTGCTCTGCAGTGTGATGGGCCAGCTCTGCTCTGCAATGTGATGGGCCAGCTCTGCTGTGCAATGTGATGGGCCAGCTCTGCTCTGCTGTGCAATGTGATGGGCCAGCTCTGCTCTGCTCTGCAATGTGATGGGCCAGCTCTGCTCTGCAAGGTGTGGCACACCCGGCTCTCCCTGCAAGGGCACAGCTTGTGCTGGGTTCTACACTCCACGATGGAGTGCCACATGCTGGGGACACTGAGGTGGCTCTGGGCGTCCTGAAATGTAAAACCAAACCAAATAAAACCCCCTCGAACCCAGAAATAATCTTCTGCTGATGAGAGTGAGGGATAGCAGACAGAGCACAACAGTCAAAGCATGTTATGTGCTGCTGGATGTGGAGGAGCTGCCAAAATAAGGAATTTGGAGGTTGCTATTCTGATATTTTTAAGGATTGCTCTTTTATTTTTTCTCATAGAATCTGTTGCAATAATCAATATTTTTTCCCCCCTAATTGATGTGTGACACCTCAGCTACAGATGGGAAGTGAAGGAGTTCTTGGTTTCATGGAACAGCAGTGGATTAGTGGTTGTTGAAAGTACTCAGAACTGGAAAAGTCACTGTGGAGCCTCAGGTTCTATCACAGACCGTGGCCAGAGTTATTCAGGGGACAGAAACCAATCCTTCTCCCAATCCCTCAGTCAATCCTTCAGCCAGACCTTCCTGGGTCATTCCAGGTGCAGTTAGACCCTGCCCTGGGAAGGAATGCCTCAGTGATGAACGAACAGGAATAAAATTATTCCTTGTGATGAAGAAAAAGGAGATTCCTGAGCCTGAGCCCTGACTCATTTTACCTGTTACAAAATGATTTCTGCAGACTTGGTGATTTCTTGTGTCGTGGGCAAGTAATAAAAAGATTTTCAGTGGAGATGGTGAAGTACACAGATAAGGTGAATTTTTTCCCCTGGGTTGATAGACTTGATCAAAACATTTGAGGAAGATGCAGCAGTGAAGTTTGTACCTGCTGGTGTTGAACACAACTATTTTAGTGCTGTAGCAAATAACTCCTTCCCTTGTATTTAAAGGATTAGATTTAGTAACGTGTGTCTAAGGTTGGTACAGGTTTTTCTTATTTAGAAATAAGTGTTTCCATGCTTTCTGCAATTTGTGGTGCACTTAAAATGTCTCTGCTGCTTTGTGATCCGGTGCTGCACACACATTTTGGGGGAAGTGTCACTTTCTGAGAAATTTGGTGCTGCTTTTACTGATTTTGAATGAATCTATTAAGTACCATAAATTAGAAAATTACTTACAGAGTGGAGTTTTTCATTGTGAAAAGATGGGATGCAGAGAGCCTATAGATGATGAAAGTCCTAATGAAAGCTCTTTCTGCAGTGGTGTTTAGAAAGAAAGAACTGAATTTATTATTTCTTTCAAGTTTTCATTCTGCATCCCTCAGAAAGAAGGGGAGAATTGCCCTGCTGAGGAGGGCTTAGAGGAGTTTAGTGCTAGGCCTGGAATACAAACCTTACAACTTAAGGCTTAAAAGTTTTTTCACTTTCTTGGTGCCTGGATTGCTCTGGGTGGTTACTGACAAAAGGTAACTGAAGGCAATGAGCCTTTTAGTGTCCTTGACAGAGACACAGAAGCCAAAAAGCAGAATATGTACCAATTCTGTCAGGCACTAAGAAGTCATTTCATAAAAATAAAAGGATCAAAATGTTGGAACCACTCACCATAAAAATAGAGGACTCATTGTTGGTCAAAGTCTTTTAAGACAAGATTAGGTTGCTTGGTAAAAAATAATTTCTTTGAGCTTCTGGGACATTTTGTGCATGGCCTGGAAAGAGAAGATGATCCTTCCAGAATTGAAATCTGTTAATCTGAGCAAACCTTCTTCAGGGCCCTTGGGGAGAACAGAATTGCCTTTGTGCTCTCACCACGTTCCTAATATTGCTACAAAGATCATAATCAAATCTCATGCTTCAACTTTCCAGTGCAAAGGTTCAGGGCAGGAGTTTTTCCAATATTCAATTAATTAACTCTGTGCTCTGGTTTTGTTTTGCTTCTCTTCCCCTTCTGTGAAGCACCAGAGAGGTAGAACAGGAGAATTGTAACCACCCCTGCTGATTAAAAACTCGGGTCACTGTCAGCATCCTCCTCATTCCCACACAGAAATCGCCTTTTTTACCAGCTCCTTGTTGGTGGATTTGATGCTTTATAGAGAAGTAATTAAAAAAATCCCAACTTTGTGGAATAATTTGCTGTGCAAATCCTTTGGGTATACCTTGAGCAGCCAGTTCCTTTGAATTGCTGTCACTTTTCTGCCACCTGTTGTCTCTACAAGTTTGGAAATTATATTCCAGTCCAGGCTCTTAGCAACCTCATATTTACAGCAAATTCTATTTTTTATTTTTTTTTACTCCTGCAGGCTGTTAAAGCTGGGCCTAGTAAGAGATTATGTAGAACTGTTAGTTACTCTAAATAGGATTTCAGTGTAAGTTTTAATATTTTTGTCTCCTCTTAAAGGCGCCAAAAGTAATTAATAAAAATAAGTCTGTGCTTTAGGCTGGGCTTTAAAGAAACTTTGTGAAGGTGGTATAAAATGCAGTGATATTGGCCAGTGATTTTATTAAAGGCCTCAATTGACTGGAAAATCCTCATGTAAAGAACATTTCGTTCAGGGCAGCTTTCCCAGCCAAAGTTTTATTTCAGTTTTACACCTCCAAGCTCGCTCTTTTCCTTTCCAGACCCGTGAGGCCAGCCTGTCAGTGAGGCCCATCTCTCTTTGAGTGGGATGTTCATTGTGTGGCAGAGAGGAGGAAAATCAACCCTTGATAAAGCAAAGCCTTCAAGGCACAGAAAACCCAGCCTCGTGTTGATTCCATCACTCTTCCCCTTTAAAATTTTTTTTTTCTATTAAAAAAGCAGGAGTGCTCTGAGTGCTGTGTTTGTCTCTGTGCAGACATTTTGCACAGAGCTTTTCTGCCATGGTGTGACCCAGCAGATCTGGGAGGAGGTGATGCTGTGTGGGCCACAAGCACAGATGTCACCAAGTGCCAGCTGGATGAGGCATCTGCTCTCTCCCTCCATCCCTGCACTGCAGCCCTCACACAGGAGAAGATACAAAGGCCTGAGTGTGTTTATACATTTATTATTGCCACATTTTAAAGTTGGTGGTGGATTGGGGTCCGTTACCTTTAAAGAAGTTGCTGATCTCTGCAGCTGTTGGAACAATCAGGATACATAAGGAATATTTGTTGATAAGCTGTGGGACAAATTCAGAAGAATTTTATTTCAGACAGAATTTCAGGGTCTTTGTGGCCTATCTATATAAAATATTCCAGGCAAGGGGACAGGGAGCAACCTGGGATAATGGAAGTTGTCCCTGTAAAGTGGATGTGCTTTCTTTGAGGTCCCTTCCTACCCAGCCCAGCCTGGAATTCTGTGATTCCATGATATTCCTTGGTTATTGGCACTTTTACCCATTGTGGTTGACAAAAGCATTGGTAGAATTGTCTTACCATGATCAGCCAAGAGATTACAATAATAATTATGCATTTGAGTGACAGAATTATTACCCATAAATTGGAAAAACTGTTCAAAATAGGCTGATGGGGAAATAGTAATCACTATTAAGTGTGTTATATAATTTTAGCTATATCTACTTTGGAGATTCCTGTTTTGAAATTCCCCCATTATCAATTTACAATTTCCTAGAGGCAATAAATCACTTAATTTAAAAAAGTTTGTACGTAGATCTTGCAGTGGCTTTCTGTGTTTTCGAGCAGGAGTGAACTTTAATGTGCAGGAACTGACTCGAGTTTCACTGGTTTAAAGGTGTTTTTGAAGGGCCTTTGAAGTGCTTGAAGTAATAAATTGCACCCTCTAGTTATTAGCCTAGAAAAATGTATATTTTGGGAAAATTTTCAGTGGGCAAAATGTCAAAAGTTATTTTTTTCAGTTATTTTTCTGACAGTTGTCTTGCTATGCATTTACTGTATATTATGCATTTTCTGTATATTATGCATTGCTGTATATTATACATTACTGTATAAACCATTTTATGATCTTGAGGCATTGGGGGTAAACAGTTGGCATTTGTCCTCCAGCTTTCCAGAAAATTCTCGAGCAGCTTGAGCAGATCCAAGAGACAAGTGAGTGCTGGGGCAGGAATTGTGTGAAACTCTGTAAAATAAAACAGATACGGGCAGGGGGGAACAGCCTCTGTTAGCAATGCTCAGGATGTGTTTGTACAGCTGGCAATTTGTGCTCCTTCATATTCCTTGACCTAGAAATAGCCAAGGTTTTAATGTGTTCTTGGAGGGGGAGAAAGGTGTCGTGGAGCAGAGCTGCCACATCAAAGCCTCCCCTCAGCCCCTAAAAGGGTTTCCACCACTGCCTTCCTCGGCCCTATCGAACACTCAGCACTTTTCCCACTCAGCCTTTTTTATTAAGAAATGGCCTTCAAGCTTTTATTTATATAAAAATGATAAAAGTGACACGAAGAGTTGAAAAGATCTGTATGGTTCAAACAAAAGCCCATCAGGGATGTAATGTAAATTCTGGGTGAGGTGTCTCCATCAGCCCCAGCAGCTCAGCTGCTGCTCTGGGTGAGTCCTCCCTGTAGGAGAGAGTTACTCTGAGGAGTAGTTTTGTACTAGGATGTGGTTTAAAACTTCCCAAGTCTTCCTGGTGGTAAAAGAAACCAAGTGTTTGATAATCAATTGCACAGTACAGGTTGATGGCCATCGTGGAGATCATTATTCAGGTTTCCTTCTGTATGTAGGAGGTTTCTATTGACCCTTTGTTCTCCAGAGTTCTGCTGGGGTTGCTGGAATTCTGGGTCCAGGACTTGATGTTCTTGGTGGTCCTTTCCAATCTTAATAATTCTGTGGTTGTCTGACTTTTCCTCCAGCATGCTAAGCAGCATAAGGAGGCAGAATTAAATCCTAGTTTTTAAAATGCCCTGATTTCCATTAAAATCTTTTTTAATTCATTTCAGCACCAGCCCACCTTACTGCTGTGTGGATCTGTACTCCCTGAGAACAGGAGAGATGGTCAAGTCCATCCAGTTCAAAACTCCTATTTATGACCTGCATTGCAATAAAAGGTAAGGCTGCTCACTCTGCATTCCTTGTGTATTAGGGCATGCCAGATTTTGGTAATAAATACAATTTCTGGTGTATCACCTCCCTGATTTCATCTTTTCACTCTCCTGTAAGCACAGTTGTGGTTCTCTGTTTCCCAAGGAGTATTTCAGTTGGAATACATCAGTGTGCTTCCCCCATGGCTTTGGTTTAAGAAGCTCAAACCAAAAAATCATTTAAGCTTCTTTCAGTTGTGCTAAAGGGTGAGCAGGAATTGCTGAAATCCTCGATGATCCACCTACAGCTGGGGAAATGGGATCACAGAGAGTTTAAACAGCACTAAGGAGTTTATGTCTCCTCTTTGTGTTGGTCTGTCAGATTTTGCCTCCCTGCACATCCAAAACATTCCTGGTGTGCAGTCTGTGGTTTGCAGGGAATATTGTTCCAGTGAGTCAAATAACAAAGCAGCATCTCTGGGTTGGGATAGAGAGAAAATGGCTCTGGAGGCTGAGGATCACAGAGCTCCTGAGAACAGCATCTGTTGTGTCCATGGAATCAAATTCTGCTGAGTGAATGTGAAATCCCCATCTCTCCCAGACACACCAAACTGGAATGTTGTGGTTTGCTTTGTAGTTTCCTGCATCTTTTTAAGGCAGAGGAGAAATCCCAGGATCCTTGTGTGAGGATCCTGCACTTGGCACTCCTGATGGGAGAGTTTGGAGTGGTGACTTTGGTCCAAGCCCTGCTGAGCTCTGCTCCCTTCACCCTCCCAGCACTGCCATGAGTCACCGTGGCCTCAGGTGCCCTGGGGGAGTGGTGCAATCCAGGTCCTGGGGTAAAGGGAGAGCCCTGGATGAAGAAATTCCTGCATTTCTTTGGGGATCCATATTGCCATGCCAGAATGGATGGTCCTTCAGTAAATAATAACACAAAGCATTGGCAAACTCAGAATGATTTGGGTTTAATGCCTGGTTTTGATGCAGATGGGGAATAGATGAGTGTGCATCAAACTTGTGCAACTAAATGTAAACTGCTCCTAAAAATAAATAGCTCAATAAATGCTCTGGAATCATCTGTCTGGGGGGTTCATTTCTGCAGAATGACATAGAGTGTCTTCAAGGAGGAGAAAGCAAGAATCTCCAGGACTGGGGAATATTCCCATCAAATATCCATAGGTTTGCAGTATATACACATTACATTACCTGCAGTCAAAGCCCTCCCATTATTCATTGGTTTCCTTTAGTTTAGGCCATGTAGGAAAAGTTAGAATTGATACATTTCCTTCTGGTTTTCTCTCCTGCAGTTTCAGCAATTGGAAGATGTTGTTTAACTAAAACTACTAATATGTCCAAAACTAATTTTTTATTTATTTATCTGAAAACATCAGCAAGCATGAGGGGACTGTGGATATTTTGGTTTTAGTGTAGTTCTTCCCACAGGTATTGAGCTCTCATGGGGTAAGAGGAAGTGTTCTTACAGCAAGACAGATAAAAGTAGGGAAAAAAGGGTTAAAGGCTGATTTCACACTTCTGGGAAATAATCATCAGCCTTTCCCCAGGGATATGATTGATGCTGAGGTGATTCATCCCCTATATAAAGGTGACTGTTCCAGGCTGTAGCACACAGTCATGATGTTCACATGAAGCATTAGGTGTGTTTTAGTCAGTGAGAGATGTGATTAATTTTTTTCCATGGTGTATCTTTACAATTAAAACCATTAAAACAATATTTAATAATGCTCTATATTGACAGCTAATTTAAAAATGCTTTCTCACAGTCTGCCTAATGAGAGAATAACAGATTATTAATTATGTCCTATTGCTAAATGTAGGTTTTATGTGTTGGTTTCCCAGGTGCTTCTTTCATGCCAGGCTTTTAAAAACTCGATTTTGGGAAGTCATCAGTGTGGGAGAAAGCGTTCCCTGGTTCTGAAATTTCCAAGCTGCTGCTCTGCTTCCACATTTGCATTTCTGGGCTCTGTTTTTTGAGGCAGCACCGTGTTTCCTGTTACCCTGTGGCTTTTGGCCTTTACAATAAAAGTGTAATGCACAAAAACATACATCTTCAATATGCTAATTGACCCAAATTCTGCTTCTCTCAGCTCTGTTTGTGTGCTGATGTTCTTGGTATTACACCCCCTCCTGCTTTTAGCAAATAAAATGTTTAATAGATTTGCACTGAGGTGGGCAGTGGGATTATTTGACATTTAGCTCTTGTTCTGCCCATTGCTGTTGGAGTCAGTGACAGTAATTCAGGGTCTTTGCAGCTCCATTCTTGCTTTTTAATGGAGCTTTGAGTGCAAGGGCTTTATCACAAAAGTGCTGTGCTGCTGTGGCTCAGCCCCCTGCACTTCCTGCAGTGGAGTTGGTGTGGTTGGGAGGGGAGAGAGCCCTCAATAACTGCCAGGGATTGGTAACCTGGCACTTCATCACGGCAGAGTTGATATTGATGCTTTTGAAATAATTACATTTAGATATTGAATCTTTAAACCAATGCATTTAATGGCTAAAGTGGCCGTTCCATTTCTGTGTTTGCAGGATCCTCGTTGTGGTCCTGCAGGAGAAAATCGCCGCCTTTGACAGCTGCACTTTCACCAAAAAATTCTTCGTCACCAGTACGTACAATTTTGGGCTCAGAGGTGGACAGAAAAGATCTTTTTGTTTCTTTCTTTATTTCTAAATCCTCAAAGCAGGTTTCAATTAATAATTTGGAGCTTCAGGAAAACTTGTTTAGGAAAAAAACAAACCAAACCCAAATGCTTTTCTGTGAAAATTTAACTCTTCTCTCTATTTATTATTGCTGTAGCTAATAGTGAAGGGCACCCACACTGCCATCCATCAGTAGCTGAGCAATTCTTTTGTTAATTTTGCACAAATATGTGTAAAAGCCTCACTGGGAGTTCCAGTTATCACATCAGCAGCAATTAAACCCACATCAGAAGTGATACAAACCCACTGTTCCTATTGGTTTGTTCCTTAGGCACATTGGGTTTTTTATATGCCTTTACAGTTCATAATCTACTTTGGAAATGTCCAAGTTTTATTATTTAAAAAGAGTCTGCCTTTTTGTGGATGGATTTTCAGCCATAATTATAAAAATTTAATATTTTTTTATATTATCTCTGTATTTATAGAAAAATCTCCTTCGGAGAAGCTGGTTTTGTTATAGTTTGAGGGAAAGCAGCTTCATGCAGTAATATTAAAGTTGCCAATAGGTGTCAGTTTCTTCCTATCCATGGATGTGAGATTCTGGGAATCTGCTGGGGTTCAGTGACAAGATCCAAATGGGAAAGGATTTATTTCTGTCCTATTCATCACTGCCTTTTATTTCATCAAAAAGAATTAGGGTACAAGCCTTGCTTTATTTTATACCAAAAGTAAAGAAAACCCCTCAGTTAAATGTGTATTCTGAGAATCTTTGGACTTATTTTATTGGGTTTTTTTAAGATACTGCAACTTATTTTTAAAAATGAATGTCCTGAAGTTAATTTTGAGAAGCAGGGATATTCGGTTCTTAAACACAACTTTGATTGGCCTTTTGTGGAGCAGCTGTGGAATTTAAAGAGGATAAATGAAAACTTTTGGAGGAATAAAAAAATTATTTTTTAGAAAGTCTAAAAATTCCTAAAATATCACTAATGCCAGTGTATTTCTCCAGCTGTGCAGCTTTTTAATATGAGAAATTCAAGATTTTCTGAGACTTTCCTCTGGTTTAATTAAGGACAAGCTCATTTTTGGGGCATTTAGGATGCTGCCAGCGCTGGAGCCAGCACAGCCCTTCCCTCTGGCAGTGCCATGCTGTGAGTGGGCAGAGCTGTGCTTTTCCCCTGCATTTAGGGGTTCTGGGACCTGTGCTGAGGATCCCCAGCTCAGCCATTCCTGGCTCCTGCTCCCAGGCAGGTGCTGTGCCCTGGCACGTCAGGACACAGCAGAGCTTTTGTCTGAGCTTCCCCATTTCATGTGCTGAAATCTCCTGGGCCTGAGAGCGCATCTTTAAAGGCTTAAACTCCTCTGCTGTGTTTGCAGTGGGATGGAAATGAGCTCCCTGTTAGCTGCAGGCAGTTCTGGGAGGCAGCCAACTGGCCACCACTGCCTCCTTTGGCTGTGCCTTTGAAAAAAGTTATTAAAGGACAGTGCCAGTATCAATTAAAAAAAATAGAAATCTTTGAAAAGGAAGCTGAGGAAAAGGTCTTGGCAGCCTTTTGGTTTGCATTGTTGGGGCAGCCTGTGTCCTGTCCACGCTGGTGCACCTCAGCTGTGAGGGTGCCACTGCCTGCCCAGAGCGTGTGACAGCATGGAAAAGATTCTGTGACTGGTTTTGGTCAGAAGGGAGGGCACAAAGGGCAGGAATATTGCTGAGGATCACTGGCTCTTTGAAGGGTTTTGTGTTACTTTTAGAGAAAGAAAATCTTTATTTTCAAGAAGATTTGGTGTGGAACTCCCATCTTCCATCCCTAAGTGATGTGGGAGCCTTAGGACCTCACTGAGACAAACATGAAGCAGGAGCTCTGGTCTGTTTTGTTGGTTATTTATACATAGAAATGAAATGCAGAATGTCCAATTAAAAGCAGTGTCAGGAATTCTGAAGTTCCTCAGAAATGCTAATGCAGCTGCTGTGCACATGAGGAGTGTTTGTCTTTCTGTTTTTGTTTTTGTGGTTGGATGTGTAGCTTAATATATTGTTACAATAAATATGCCATAAAATATTCAGGATGTAGATGGACAAGTTCGTGCTGCTGTTGGAATGTTTTAACTCCTGCATTTCCTGATTTTTCCTGAGCAAGTTTGTCATAGAACCAACCTTTGTTTTGCCCTGCTTGGGATTATGTGGAAATGTGCTGATTTGACTTGGATGGCAGGGAGCCAGAATGTTTTATTTGTGCCTTTTGTAACAAAACCTCAGTGTACAGGTGCTCCAGACTGGGAGAGGGAATTTAAGACAGGTGCTTAAACGTGGAGGGAAAACATGCTGTAACTATTGTAGAAAAATTACCAGGATATCCCCTAATCTACCCTGTGGGGTGTTCTGATTTTCAAATGTCTGCTAGGAGAAGGCAGAACATCAGTCTCATGGCAGTCACTTCCATCCATCACTGCTCTCCTGGTGCTTGGAGCCAGCTCCTTTCCCTCAGAAAAGGCACCAAGGGGAGGAGAAAGCCCAGCAGGAATTTCACATCCTGCACTGGTTTAGGTGTTCATGTGGCCAAACTAAAAAAAAAAAAAAAAAAAAAAAATCATTTGATGCTTATGTTAAGAATGTGTTTCCTTTACTAGTGTGTGTGTCGAGGTGTGGATTTTAAATAGATTCTTAAATAGCTCAGAGTTTTAGTGTGGTTCACTTCAGATTTCCTTCAGAGCCTTTTCTGCATGTGCCTGAAGGATCAGAAACCAAAGTGATGCACAGAAACCAAAGTGATGCTCAGGCTTTTTTTGCCCCTACTTTGCTCCAAAGAAAAGCTGCAGAAAAGCTGAATTCCATTGATTTCTATTCCATCAGTGCTCCTCACCCCAAAACTGCTTACTTAGTGCAACCCTGCTGCTGATGAATATGGCCTGATGGATCCTTTCCTTCTCCATAAAGAGCATCCTGCCCACCCCCTGGGCTGAGTAGAGATGCTCCCAGATAACATCATGCACGTGGCATCATCCCTGTGTCTGCTGAGGAGCTCCTGCTCAGCCTCCCTGGCCCTTCACTCCTCAGATTGATATATTCTCCATCCAGGGTTCCCCAGGGATGGAGACATTTACTGCAGCCATTAGCTGGCACCACGCTTCTATTGATGCTGTTCTGTAGAGCCCTGAGGTAATTTTGCAGATTTTAGTCAGAGTAGTTTATGGTATAGAAATTCTGGAATTCCTCACCACAAGCCAAAATCAGGCTGTGGATGTTGAATGCCCTGCACCTCTCCAAGTGAATAAACCCCCAAAGCAAATGGTGTTGGATGCTCTGATCTGCACTTTGGGTTTGGGATTGCTGTTTGCTCTCCCATTCACACACAAGGAACAATTTGGTGGTTTCAGTTTGTCACGGGGCAGGTCTGGAAATCTTCAAGGCTTTTTTGGACATTTCTGTTGGAATTCCTTTCCCTGTGGGGCTCACAGGAAGCAGTTTGAGCTCTTGACTTTCAAGTGAAAACATTGGGTGTCCTATGAGGAGGTTTAATGCAGAAGCTGCGGGTGTTTCCCTCTGAGCTGGGGGCGTTTCTCCTGTTGTCCCACACGGGGTAATCATTGCCAGGATTCCTTTGTCTGTGGGGGACCAGCCCTGATCGAAAGTCCTCAGGGCAGGTGGGGAGGGAGGGAGCTCCTGACTCACAGGATTTTCTTGATCAGTGAAGAAGAGCCAAGTATGTCCCTGGGGATTGCTATAAACACTTAATTTTCATGCACCCACATTTATATGAGCACCTACCCCTTGATGGTGTTTTTCCCTGGGAAATGTTGATTTAATTTTCCTTTTTACCAGCATTATTTATAAGAGTCTTTATTCCCTGGCTGTAGGAACCAGTGTCTCACCATTCCAGGATAATGCTGAAACACTTTTCAGAGAGGTCTTTATGGCACAGTGGTGGATTTATGGGAACAAACAGCTTTGGTGCTTGCAGGAGGTTTTGCTCCACTGCAGGAAAATGTAAATACAACAAAAAAGCTGCATAAAGCCACAACAGAGGCCTCAGTCCCCAAGATGTCTGTCTGTCATATCTCCAGGCTCTGACAGTTTTACAAATTAGATGTAAAACAGGAAGTGCTCTTTGTTTCTATAGAAGTTATTTTTATCTAAAGCACCCAAATCCTCAATGGTAAAGGGCAAACAAAGCCATCTGACATTGTCCTGCACAGAAACAACAACCTCAGTGGCAACTTTTATTATTTGTCACTGTCCAAGTCTGAAGAAAATAAGAAAGTAAAGCTGACATTAAACATTGCCCTGAAATCAATCAAATTGGTGCTAAATTAAACAGCAAGGCCTAATGAATATGAAAGACCACTGATATTTTTAGAAAAAGCTCTGGGATTGTGCTTGGACCTGTGGAGTAACAGTAAAATCATAAAATGATGGAATTTGTGAACTGGGAGGGACCCACTGGGACCATCAAAGTGCAGATGCTTCAAACTGCCGTGGTAGAGTGGCAGGGAAGGAGACCTCTGTAGTAATAATGATGATAATAATTTAATAATAATAATAAATAACTAAGAAGAAAAGGCCCTGGGTGGCAAACCTGATTTCTCAGTAGGTCCATCCTGCTCTTTGCTCTTTTACTCCATTTTATGGGTGATACTTAAACAGAAGGAAGTACAAGAACAATAGAAGAGTTTTGGAAAGTATGTGACAGTGTGAGAGTAATAACATTTACACAGGGCCTTTCATCTAGAAGGAACCCAGAGGAATTTCTAAACAATATTGCTTTATACAGTTTATAAACAACAAAAAAATTGGTTTGCTAAAAAAACCAAAAAAACAAAACAACCAACCAAAAAAAAATATATTAGATAAAACAACTTCTATGATTTGTTTTCCTTGTAATAAACAAAGCTTTTTGCTACAGCAGTATCACTCTGCCCATTATTTATTGCATATTCCCTCTCTGTGCTCTCTGCCATGGAGCTGCTTGCT